TAAGCATCTGTTCTGTAATCAGCCAGGGCTGAGCGACTTTGAAATCAAGCAGACTCTGGCTTTTTCAGATGGACAGCTCTGGAAACCATCGGCAAAAATCTTTTTTCTTCCACTCCCCTGAATAAACTGTAGCCGGGCTGGAAGGGGGAAAAGTGTGACATGACATTAACTGCAGCAAACAGACTAAACTCCAACGCTAGCTGAAATGCAGTCTGCATAGCGCCGAATGAACTCACCATTCATTAGCACGAATGGCAGCATAAATATTAAGGCTAGTATGAGACAGCTGATTGATTTGCCTGTAGGACCACTGAGTTTGAGTCACCACTTATTAATGTGAGTCACTGGTTTAAGCAATGCGAAGCCAGCGGAAGCAAGTCTGTGTGACAGAGAGGAGATGCTTTGCTAATCCGAACCTGGATTTTCAAGAAGTGCCTGCAAGTTTTGCACATGTCAGGCCTGTTCCTATTCCAGCTATTAGGTGCTTACGTGTGATCCTATGCCACCTGGATCCCTGACATATCATAAACACACACATGCTTGTAACATCTTAGCCTTAAGACTAAGTCACCAAATGCAGTGAGCTGGAGTAGGACCCGCCACTGCTTGTATTAAGCGCTCTTCAGAGACTTAAGTGGGGTGGAAGAGGGTGGCACTTAGGTAACGGGAAGTGGGGGTTTCTTAATGCGGGTTTAGGACATGTGATGGAAAGCTTATGATAGAGGATGTATATATATAACTCTCTCTCTATATATAGAACTATATTTTAATTTTTTTTAAAAGTCCACTTCAGCACATAACAGGTTTTTGTTTGCCCAATGTGAGGCACTTAGGGACTTTCAGAGGTGCTGAGGACCCACTTGCCCATTCACTGCACTGAATCTTTTGGGCTGATGAGACCTCCTCCATAACACAGGCCATAGGATTTCATCTTGGCTAACCCATATCTTCTAGCAAGATGCCCACTGCCAGAGAGGCATCTAAAGGACATCCATGACTTCCTTCGGTGGTTTGTCCCTGTCGTTATGGTTCATGGCTCCAGGGCTTTTCACTGAGATCAATGGTTGCTCTGCCCACTCGGGTCACATTCAAATTGTCTCAAGTTAGGCTCCAAAAAGAAAAGGGCATCCTAAAATTCTTGGCAACTTTGAAAATCATGGAGGCAGAGGTCTCCAAAGTCACAACAATCCTCCTAACCCTTGCAGACTGACCAAATATAGTCAAATCAAAGCAAGACTGAAAGTCACATTCAATCCAGCCAAATACCTCTGTGGGGTACTATGGTTAAGGTATACCCATTTTAAGAGCTAACAGGAAGCAAAGCAGTGTTTGGGCCAGACCTCTAGACATTTGAGTTCATGTTCTTCTCTGACACGGCTCTGAGCTTTGACCTAGAAACAAACGGTGACAGGCTGGAGCTATTGCAGACCTTGCTGAAAGGACATTGCAGATGCCAGGGCTCTGAACTGCTACAGCAAGGAATACTACAGCGTGGTGGGAAGGAACTGGACCAGGATTTCCTTCTATGGTTTTTACTGACACAATGGGCCTGTCTACATGTGCATTTACATCGGCTTAAATTTACTTCGCAGTAAATGAATGCACTGTAAGCAGAAATCAGCTGGCGTCTACACATGTAAGCATTAAAGCGCATTAACGCTGTGTGTGGACTGGCTTGGGACTAAAGTTAGCCCCAAGCCAGTCCACACACACAGTGTTACTGCGCAATAAGGTGTCTACATGTGTGTTACTGCACAGTAACTAATTGGGTGTAAGTTTCATACCTGCATGATGCACGTCACATGACCCTGGCCAGATATCTATCCAGCCTTCTCTTGAAGACCCCCGGGGCAGGGGAGAGCACCACCTCCCTTGGGAGCCAGTTCCAAATTTTGGCCACCCTTACCATGAAGAAGTTTTTCCTGATGTCTAGCCTAAATCTGCTCTCTGTCAGTTTGTGACCATTGCTCCTTGTTACCCCAAGAGCCACCCTGGTGAACAGGGCGTCTCCGATCCCTTGCTGCATCCCCCTAATGAATTTGTAGGTGGCCACAAGATCACCTCTCAGCCTTCTCTTGCGGAGGCTGAAGAGGTCCTGGTCCCTCGGTCTCTCCTCCTAGGGCTTGTCCTGTAAGCTCCTGACCATACGAGCGGCCTCCTCTGGACCCTCTTGAGTCTATCAACATCCTTCTTGAAGTGTGGCACCCAAACCTGGAGGCAGTGCTCCAACTGCAGTCTGACCAACGCCGCATAGAGGGGAAGTATCTCCTCCTTGGATCTATTAGTCGTGCATCTGCTATGTCCACTATGACTCTGAGATCCCTTTTGTGTGTCTGTGCTGCTGAGAGGGTCACTTCCCAGCCAATAAATGTGCTGGATATTTTTGCATCCTAAGTGCAGCACCCTGTACGTGTTCTTGTCGTACTGCATCCTACTGTGTACTGCCCACTTTTCTAACCTGTCCAGGTCTGCTTGCAATCATTCCCTACCCTCTGGGGTGTGCACTTCACCCCATAATTTAGTATCATCTGCAAACTTGGACACTTCACACGCACATCCAACTCACTGATGAAGACATTGAAGAGTACAGGTCCAAGGACCGAACCCTGCGGGACCCCACTACCTGCATCCTTCCAGGTCAATACCGACCCATCTGCTACCACTTGCTGGGTGTGACCCCCAAGCCAGTTTGCCACCCACCGGATCATGTAAGCATCTATGTCACAGCCTCTTAATTAATTTACGAGAATGGGATGAAATACCTCATTGAAGCCTTGCTCAAGTCCAAGAAAATGACATCCACCTCTACTCCTGCGTCTGAGTGTTTTGTGACCCCATCATAAACTGAAACCAGACTGGTCAGGCATGATCTACCTGCTACAAATCCATGCTGGTTGCCCCACTACATTATTTTTCCTGCTGGACTCCATAAATTCAAATTACACACAAGAAGGCTGCTAGACTAGAAATAGGCTCCAAGCAAAGAAATCACCTTTCTGCACTGCGCTGCAGATTTTTCATGATGTGCACTTGAAACTGTCACTTCAGAAATGTCCTGGCACTCAGCAAACCACTGTTGTGCTGGACTGGCAAGGAGCTGTGCCCATGGGGAAGAGAGTGTGTTTTCCAAGCAGTGAAAAGGTCCAGGATTTGAGCAATGAGGGATGTTGCAGACTGATTGATGCACTTTTGCCAGATGCTAGAATGGCCATAACACATAGGCTATAGGCTGTACAGGAGGGACAGGATAGGAAGGAAAGGTGTGGGGGGGTGGCACTCTACATTAAGGAGGAAAACCCATCCTCATCAATTAACAAAGAATCAGAGGAGGGGCACTCTGAAGTGCTCTGGGTTAGAGTACAAGGCAGTCGAGGGGAAAGAGACTTAACATTGGGGGTCAACTACAGACCTCCCAATCAAGGCGAAGAGCTCG